AGATAAATGTTTATAATCAGTTCAGTTCAGTTGCTCAGTCATGTCCAACTCTGCAACCCCATGGATTGCAGCACGCCAGGCTTCCCTGTCCATCACCAACTCCTGGAGCTTGCTCAAATTCATGTCCATCAAGTTGGTGATGCCATCCAGCCATCTCATCCTCTGTCATCCCCTTCTCCTCCTGCCCTCAATCTTTCCCAGCATCAGAGTACATGCTGCTGCTGCTAAGTCACTTCAGTCGTGTCCGACTCTGTGCGACCCCATAGACGGCAGCCCACCAGGCTCCCCCGTCCCTGGGATTCTCCAGGCAAGAACACTGGAGTGGGTTGCCATTTCCTTCTCCGATATCAGAGTATATAAGACATCATAAATGTGGGAAGTGGATCTTGCCACAAGCAGTATGTTAGTAGAGTGAAGATAAAGCCATGGGTTCCAGGAAAGACTTTTCTGGGAGACGTGGTATCTTATTCTACATCAGAGGTTAGGATGAGGTATCTTGTTCTAGATCAGAGGTTGGGAAACTACAACTTGTAGTTACTGCTATACAAGAATAGGCATCCAACACTGCTCCTATGATTTTTTAAAAAAACTTGTGGACATCCTAATGTTTATGCTAAACGTCACAACTTTTAAATGTTGGCTCAATTTTTTTAATGTAGGCCAAAAAAATATATGGTTCACCAGAGTTTGCAACCTGTTTTAGGCTGAAATAACAGCATGAATAAAAATAATTGGAAGTGAAGGATATGTTGAAGGAGGAAGAATGTGATCTGAAGCATAAAGTTTGTTGAAAGAAGTAATGGAAGACAAAATAATTTGGGGCTGATTCCTGGAAAGCTTTGATATGGCAGGGAATTTGGACGTTAGTTTTACAGATAAGTTCTTGAGAAGTGCCTTGCAATTCATGGTTCTAGTGATGATAGAAAAACAATGAAAATTGGATGACAACATTAGTAAGCTTTGCAGTAATTCACATGAGAGGATTGGAGCTTGAAATAGACCAGGAAAGAGGACAGAGGAGGGGAGAAAAATCAACAGGTAACTGACCTTGGTAACTGACTGGATTCACTCAGCCAAAATTTATAGCATAAGTGTCAAGTGCCAGACGGGGTTCTGGGCATTTGAGATATACAAATAATTGTATATTCGTTGAAAGGAATTTCAAGCTTGGGTGACATACACTTGAACAAATAATGGGAAATACAGAATAGCATACCGCTAGTATGTAAATTTAATGCAATGGGACAACGAGGAGGAAAGGGGTCAACTCCCTACCCTACCCTGGTGGGATGCAGGAGGGAAGGAAGGCTTCCCAGGAATCACTGGACCCGAGTTCCAAATAGGATCAGATATTGGCAGTGAGGAAAGGGACTAACAGCCAGATTGAGCATGTATTGTGAGTCATGAGGTAAATGTTAGGCCTCTAGTCATCCCAGCAGTTTTATAAAAAGACATTATTATCATCATCACTTTCTATGTGGGGAAACTGAGACAAAGGACAAAGTTCACGTAGCTAATAATCAGAACTGGGGGACTTCCCTGGCAGTCCAGTGGTTAAGAATCGGCCTTCCAATGCAGGGGGCATTGGTTCAATCCCTGGTCAGGGAACTAAGATCCCACATGCTGTGGGTTGTGGCCAAATTTCTTTTTTAAAATAATAATAATCAGAACTTGGATTTGAACCCAGAATTCATTCCAGAGCCTGAGTTGCTAACCAGTGCACATAAAAAGGGGCACTTAACTAAAGATGAGTCACAGATGAAGACTGAGGTTTCTAGTCTGTGAGTGAGAGGACATGTCATTAACCTGAACAGCAAGGAGAAGAGGATGAGCAGGTTTTGTTTTGGTTTTTTTTAGCAGGTTTCAAGAATGAAGTAATGAGCTCATTTGGGGAAAAATGGGTTGGAAGTGCTTCCCCATAGAAGGGGGTTGGCTAGAAAATAGAAATGTGGGTCTATTGCTTAAGAGCAAGAAGTTAGGGTTAAAGATGTGGATTTGGGAATTATCAAGAAATTCCAGGAATGATAGCAGCCACTAAAGGAGAGAACAGAAGGCTAAGAATTTGACCTTAGGGAATTCCAGAAGTAATCTGGAACAAAATCTGGAAAATAAGATGCATGATGAAGGTGGCTAATGCTTCAGCTTTTCTTTCTTTTTTTTTTTTAAGTAATCAGTCATTTAAATGTGGTTCGTAAACTAGCCATGAAGGAGCTCCAGAAATGTTTTGTGCAATGATAGCATTCCTGAAATAAGTACAGGTTGAGATCATTTCGGCTCGGGTCCTCTAATGATTTGCTTTACTGGATAAACTACAGAGATCCAGGCCTCGTAACATCTGGAACAAGTTGACAAATTGGAAGGAGATAAGTTCCTGCATGTTGGATTTCCCCACATTAGCTTTTTAGTCACATAAAAGCAAATTTGATTAAGATCTAAGAATCTGCAGCTTAAAAAAAAATCAGTATAGGGTAGAATTAAGTAGTCATTGGTTTTAAGGTGAGAAGCCAGAAGGAACTTCACGAGAGAAAGAAGGAATGAGGCTGTGACTGAAGAGACATCAGCCCATTTAGATTGGGGTCATCTTACTGGGAGGACACAAGGAGTGAAACAACTGGTGATTTAGGCAGGGCGCTGCTAACAGGAGAATGTGTTTGAACAGAGGGGGCACCGAAATTCCTAGGTGAGATTAATATGATGAAAGCAGTGTTTCAGAGATTTTTAAGTGTGTGAAAGTGGGGCACCTAGCAGGCCACTGTAACAAAGCGTGAAACAGATCATATGATGGAGGAAGCAATGACTGATGAATGATGGGTATGGCAGAAAAGAAAATGTCTGATAATTCTTAAGGTTGGAAATTAGATAGGATTGAGAGAATAGTATTAACAAATGAAAAAAGTGGAAAATGTGATTCAGGGAAGGGGAAAGTTTTGTGTTCTAGGTGACATTAGGTCAGCCATGCAGACATATAGGCAGCTAGAGATACGGGGCTTCCCTGCTGGCTCAGCAGTAAAGAATCTGCCTGTCAAGCAGGAGATGCAGGTTCGATTCCCAGGTTGGGAAGACCCCAGAGAAGGAAAAGGCAACCCACGCCAGGACTCTTGCCTGGGAAATCCCATGGACAGAGGAGCCTGGCAGGCTACAGTCCTTGGGGTCGCGAAAGAGACATAACTTAGCGACTAAACAAGGCAGCTTGAGATATAGGACTGTGGTGTGGCTAAAAGTTCATGCTTGGAATAGTGGTTTGGGGTTCCTGGCTTGGGAGGAGGAGAAGAGCAAAGCTTTCATAGAACTTCACAGAAGAAGGGAGAAAATAAATGAGATGGAGAAATAGTGTTCTAAGAGAAAAGCAAGAATGTACAATGTCTCTCAAGCCCAGTAAGAAATCAGCGGCTTCAAAGATAGCAAAGCTTTCTACCGCAAGGTATTAAAGATGGCGTGGAGCTAGAGAGAGAGGGCATATATTTAAAAACAGGAAAAAGTAGAAAGCAACATGGTGATCTGGAAGTGTCAAGTGAAAGTTTTGTTTGTCCTGGATTAACGAAGGATTGAATGAGTAGAGTAGGAGAATTTTAATTTGTTATGAAAGGCTATTCATGGAAGGTTCTTAAGGAGGTTGAAATGAGTGGGGCTTGCAAACCTAGGTGCAGAAGGTAACTTCAGAGCAGAAAAGCAAGGCCAAATATTGAGTCAGAAACTAAAGAATGCCAGTGGGTAGAATATAATAAATATGTAAGAATAGTGAGAAAGGGGGCTTGATTATGAAACAGAAAGAAAAACGGAAGGATAGAAAGGTAAGATTTGCTGGGATGGAAGGGTGAAGAAATTGTGATGGGCAATGGGGATGGTAAAATTTTGAAATTCTCTCTTGTGCGTAACAGTTCAAAAGTCTTGGCCTCTCACCTCCAAGACTGCAAGGGAAGCATCTGAGAATGAAAAGTAGTATCTCAAGCACCGAACAGCCTCCACCAGCTTATTCTGGATCGAGCCTCCATTTTGTGAACCATGAGGCCGCCGCACCACACAGCTGTCCGCTGCCCTCTGCTGGGCAGTTGTGGTCTCGCGTCTTCAGACAATTGGATTAGACGCGCACAACCGGGACGTGGTAGGAAGTCCAGGATAGAACCTGATTAGATCATACTCAGTCAGTACTGTTTTAATCACATCTATGTCTAAGGCCCGATAGAGGAGGTGCAAAAAAGAATGAAATACACAGTCTTAACTCTCAAGACGCTCGCATGCCGTCCAGTCTGAGTGAAGATTAAAATATGTAACGTTAAAAACAAATCCACATACTCAAAAAGATTTTTTTGGAGTGGCTTAAATGTGCCAAGACTGTATATTCTACAAGGGAAGAAAGATTTCACATAGTAAGATAAGGGAATAGGATATGTGAGTGACGAGTGTTTAGAGAAGGCTTCCCAGAAGAACCAGTATTTAATGGAGACTGAGAAAAAAGTGAGGGTGAGAGATGATTTCAGGCAGAGAAGAGCATGAACACAGACAAATACTATACCAGGAACTAAAAGAATACCAGTGGATGAAATGTAGTGAATATGAAAGAGTAGGGAGAAGGAAGAAAGGGACCATGATAGGGTTTAAGGTCCCTGGCTACAGTGTGGATGCTTTAGATAGTATCAGTGTGGACAGATATACAATGTAGATGCATTACATGTATCAACACATGCAGTCCTCACATGAAGGCTCCAGCAAGGGGTGGGGGCCCAGCCTGCACTCACTTCTGAGAAAAGTAGACACAGCTGAGACTATTTAGGAGGTAGAATAATTTAACTTCTTTTAATCAGATTTTGCAGAAGCACGTAAAAGGAAAGGCCCGCATACAGCCTAATGGATGGCAGTGGTAGGCTGATAGGCTCTCGCTGCTGTAATCAAGAACCTCAAACAGCAGGTAGAGAGACACGCAGGATGGAAAGTGTGGGGGCTAGTGGAATGGTGGGGGGAGGCAGTGGTGAGGAAGAAACAGCATAAATGGAAAAAGCGGCATGAGCAACGCCAGGAAGGTGGGAAACTCCAAAATACAGATGCGTGGGAAATTCTATGAATTACCTTGAATCCCTGCTCTCTGGGAATCTTGGAGATGTGGCTGTGCAAGAAATCAAATACAAAGAGAACATCCTCAACAAGAATCCTAGACATTCCCCACAGCGAGAACGTGCGAAGAGGAAGGACCGGCTGAGGGGAGCACAGGAGGGCTGGAGAAGGATCAAGTCCCCAGGTAGGAACTTGGAACACGGAGAATTTAGAACACTACCTGGCACAAAAGAAGCACTCGATAAAGAGTGAGTTATCTCCGCACACTGGCTCCAGCCAGATGGGCAGTGTTGATGTTTCAACAGATTACTCCCCACAAGCCCCGTGATCCCTGAGAGGCAGCCCCTCAGGGAAACCCCAGAGAACGCCTCGCTTCCAGAATCTTCACGGTGCAGAGACCTACAAGACGCGAGGTCCGGTCACTAAACTCGGAGCTGCCCTCTTCACCCGGAAACTCCAGTTTTGACTATTAAATGCGCAACTGGCGCACACTTTCCCGAACCAAACTTAGCCCTTCGTGAACCAAATCCTTTGCTACGCCCTCCCGAAAGAATGAAACAAGGTATGTCGAAACTCGGCTTGCAAACCTGAAGTTACAAAGTTCTCTAAGCGCTTTGCATCCTAGCAGCCAATACAGCTAGCTGAACACCATTAAACGCTTCTTGTGGTCACCCTCAGCCCCCTCCTTCCCCCAAATCCAAGGGTGAGACCTTCTGGCTTCTGATTCCGATACAGAAAGGGAAGGACACGAAAGACACGTGGAAGGCAAGAGGTTTCCTTTACACACACACCCTGAAGGGGAAAAAAAAGCGGCCGTCACGAACAGGATTCGAACCTGTGCGGGGAAACCCCATTGGATTTCGAGTCCAACGCCTTAACCACTCGGCCACCGTGACTTCCAAGACCGCCCTTTACCGAGCACTTACAGAAAGGGTCCGCAGGCGCCCCGGAGCGGGTGCTAACAACGGGAAGTTGGGTCAGGCCCAAACACACAGCCTGTGACCTCCTCACACGCCGCTCCTTACCTCTGCCTCCCCGCCGCTCCAAGGAGGAGAGTCGCGTGGATCGGGTGACCCAAGGAGGAAGGGTCTCCCGCCCCACGAAGATGAGGGTCTCAAGGAGCGCAAAGCCGTTTAGGAAGCACTGGCGAGGCCTGCAGAGGGAAGCAGTTGGAGAGGAGGGGCTGGGTCCCCGGGGCGGCGGCTAGGGGACTCCTCGGGTGACGGAGTGAGACCTGGGACACGGCGTTAGGGGCGAGGGAGGCTCAGAAGGGCTTTCAACGGGGAGCTCCTGGGGGTGGGTGAAAGGAAGGAACTTGCGGAAACGGGTCCAGGGCTCCTCGGGATTAGGGGCCTTGTGGGGTTAAGAACTGTGCAAGGTGAGGACCACTGAGGTCTGCGCTGGGGGCTCCTCAGGCGACCGGCATCCCCTTGGGGTAGGATAGAGAGGTACCCCCCTCCCCCGGCTGAGNTTCTCCGCCGGCCCGGCGGGTCCCGGTGCCAGCTGCCCACCCTCCAGAAGCCATCGCCTTCTGGGCTTTTCCGGGAGGGACGGCCGCGGGTGGACGGGTGCCGAATGTCCCCCCCACCCCCGCCCCGCCACCCGAGCGTGCCCGCCACGGTGCCCGCCAGGGCTCCCCGCGGAGCCAGGTACCAGCAGGGCTAAGGCCTCGCCGCCGCTTTGTGTATGTTCAGAGCAAGATGATGAAAGCCGGAGGGTAAACAGCCCCAGAGCAGGCCCTCCACTGCTCAGCAGCCTGAAAAAGGCCCCCACCCCGGAATCACCTGTCTACCGCCCGACCCCCACCTCCGTACAAGGGGTAACAGAACCTCTTTGGGAGTCAGGGTATAGGAGTTCCTGGGCAGCTACCCCTTCTAAAACCATTGCTCAACTTCACAACGAAATCACCCCACCACCTGGCCTTGCGTTGCCTTGGGTTTGGGGTTCAGAGACTAGGATGCAGTTTGTGTCTGGAGTCCCCCATCCCCTAGCAGGAGATGATTAGGTAGTGAACAAAGGGTGCAAGCCTTACCTGTCTTTTATACCAGACCTCTTCTGGTGCTGTCTTTGTCTTTAGGCCTGGTTGAAAGGAACATCTCTGCCTAGGGCTTTTCTCTGGAGAGGGTCTGCGTCTCTTCCTTCTCGCTACCCCCAGTAAGACGTTCTCGGACTTTCCTTCAGCTCCCCAGTTCTTCCTGCTCATCTCTGCAACCTGTCAGAAGTGCGATGGGCCTGTGGAGGAGAACGCCTCTCTGATCCCGGTTATGAGTCTGGCCCTGTTCTCAGGGGTCTCTCTGGGTGTCAGAGCTTGACCAACAGCTGCTGGGTCTGTGGCTTGTCTCTACCCCAGCGTAAGGCTCTGGCTCCCAGGCTTCTACCTTTGACCTTTTGGACAGGAGATCAGTCTAGGGGCTTAGTGTCTGGCCCTGGGGGGATTGACAGCCTGTGACCTAGTTCAGCTGTCAAGCTCTTAGCTCTTTGTCATCTACCTTTTCTTTCAAGGATCTCTTTACACCTCCCACCAAAAGGTGCACTTTTTTCTAAGGTCGGGGTTGAGGAAAAGGGGATCAAAAGGTAAGGTTAGCCTCTTTGCACAGTTTTACATGAGAACTGAAGGCTAGGATGCTAGGTCGCATAATATGGAAATATTTAAGAAGGCCTAGGGTCGCCTGTGTCCAATACAGTTTCCTCAGAAAGCGTAGATACTGTCTTGCTATTGCCCACCTGGCTGGGCAGTAGCTTCTCTTTTCCCTTCTAGGAGGGCATGTGAAGACATGTGCTCTATGTTGCTTTGCACCTTTCTTATCAGGCTGTATTATAGAGGGAATCTTGACCTTCCACACCATTACTCGAAGAAGTAGACTGCTGTCTCCCTTAGAGCATTCCAGATGGTGCTTCTGTGGCCTGATCCCTATGAATCTTCAGAATTTTACAACTCTCGGTGCCATTGGCTCAAGATCGGGATCCTGCAACTCCATTTTTAGGGTGTAGTTGGGGGAGAGTAGGAAGCTGCCTATACCCTCAGCACCCAAGACTGGTAGTAGGCAGTTGAATTCCATCTTCTTGGTGAGGGGCACCTCAGGCAGGCCTGCCTTCCGCCAGTTTTTTTCTGAGAGATTAGGTGTGTGGGGGGAGAGGACACGGTTGCTATCGCAGATGCTTCCAGAGCTCCTGGGGGAGAAATGAGGGATACGGCGGAAGATTGATTTGGGGTCTGTTTTCTTTCCCTTTCCCTGTTTCCCCAGTATATACAAGCCGAACCGCCCACCAACAAGTCCCTGTCCAGCCTGGTTGTACAGCTGCTGCAGTTTCAGGAAGAAGTTTTTGGCAAGCATGTCAGCAACGCACCGCTCACTAAACTGCCGGTGAGTGCGAAAAGCGAGGGGGCAAATCCGAGCAGGAGTCTTTTTTGTTTTTGTAAATCTTCTAGTTTCTGAGGTTTGGGTGACTTCCTACCATCCCTTTCCCTGGTTGGGGTGTTGCTGGCTTGGCAGAGCCCCCAGTTTGCCGTTCCTTTTGTCCTAGTAATAGTTCATGCAACAGGTTATCTCAGAGTGTCTAAACTCAGTCATGAAACTCAGGGCATGGTGGAAAGCGTGTGAGGTTTGAATTTGTACACTCTTGTGTTCAAATCCTGGCTCACCACTTGGTGTCTCTGTCGTCTTGGACAAGCCATTTATGCCGTTGAGTCTTGGTTCCTTTATCTCTCGATTGATACACCTCCCTTGTAGGTATAACCTGTAATGATTAACGAGGTAACCCAGCAAAGGGAATCCGGCAAGGGACGTGGTGGGGCTCTGTGAATGGTGGTTTCTTTCTCTCCCCTCTTCTAGGCTGCAAGATAGAATGGCACAGGGGTTAAGGAATTCCAGCTTTGAGAGGGAGATCAGTCCAGCATAAGATTTTCTGAAAGAATTGTTAAATCATAAGAGAATTTAGGATGTAACTCTTATATACTTCTTCCCTGTCTCAATTTTGTAGATCAAATGTTTCCTAGATTTCAAAGCAGGAGGCTCCCTATGCCACATACTTGCAGCTGCCTACAAGTTCAAGAGTGACCAGGGATGGTGAGAGGCCTTCTCTCTGTACTTCTTACATTTAGTTTAAAGGGAATCCCCCTTTATGATTCCCTGGGGTCTTTGTAGGGTGGGAGAGGGTAGACATTCTTACAAGTCTTTTACTTTGCTAGGTCAGCAGACCTGACCTGCTAGGTCAGAAAAGTGGCTGGGAGTCAGAGCCAGGAGTCTCTCAGAATGAGTGAATATGTATATGTGTGTCAGTGTGTGTGTTGTAGAGAAAAAGGGATTCTTAGGTTGCTATCTCGATAAAGCCTTTCTTTGTCCTTTCGGACTAAGTACAAAGTGATTTGTGTAGTTGAGATCAGTGAACCCCAGATCCCAGGTGATTTTGGCACAGCTGAGGGCACAATTGCCCCCTGATCTCCCATGTTAAAATAATCACACATGCTAACCTCGTCCCCAGAATTGAGCTATACCACTCACTAGATCATTGCTTCTTTACAAGGCGGCGCTACGATTTCCAGAATCCGTCACGCATGGACCGCAACGTGGAAATGTTCATGACCATTGAGAAGTCCTTGGTGCAGGTAATAGTCAAGGACTCCCCCACTTACCTCCCTTCCCTGGATGAGAATCCAAAACACCCCTTCCCTATGTCATCCCACTTATTTCTTCTCCCCACAGAATAATTGCCTGTCTCGACCTAACATTTTTCTGTGCCCAGAAATTGAACCCAAACTGCTAGGGAAATTAAAAGACATTATCAAGAGACATCAGGTGAGTGGGTGGGTCAGGAGAGGTTTTAGAAACTCCGTAACTCTTTCTCTGACGTTTTGCATACAAGCAGCAGCCCCAGGGTAGCACCGCCTGAATTAGAATTAAAGCTTGAAGCCTCTGTTTCCGTTTCTCCCATTCCCGTTCTTGGCAGGTGTAGTGCACTGTCCCTAGAGACTGCACAGGCCTGAGGGGAAAAGCATCTATTTCCACTGAGCTAGAGATTGCCTGATTTCAGATCAATGAGATCTTTGCTCTCTGGAACTCTGTAATTACAAGCAGATGTCATTGGGACATACAGGGACATAAACTTGACTGTTCATTTCACATGTGTAACAGAGTATCTGTTCAGAGGTTTATCTGTAGCAATTTAAAATTCTTTGATTTTTCTCCATTATTAGCAAAGTCCCAGCTGTTTCTCTCTGCCACTCACCTGATGTGTATTTAGAGAATGCAGACCAACCTTCATACCATTCTATTACCATATGATTATGAAGGCAGATCTGCGGTTAAATCTTACTTTGGTTTATTTACATTCATGACTGATTCAAAGGGGACCACGCTTACCTGCCTCTCTCTATGTCATCCAGGGAACGGTCACCGAGGATAAGAACAGCGCTTCCCACGTTGTGTATCCCGTGCCAGGGAACCTGGAGGAAGGTGAGACCTGGCTTTTCTTGGTCACTGCCGTGGGTGGCTTGGGCTCGGAGACGGAGGGCCACTCAGTAGCTGTGCAGTGCCGGGGCCCGCCCCTCCCGAGAACCCTGACTCTTCGTGGCGCCTTTGTCCGTAGCCCGCGGCCCCTGCTGCAGCAGGTGGTGTGTGCGGAGTTCTTTGGTATCTGTGCCCTTTTAGCTCATGTCTCCTCCTGCTGTGTCTCTGTCCCCAGAGGAATGGGTACGGCCGGTCATGAAGAGAGATAAGCAGGTTCTTCTGCACTGGGGCTACTATCCTGACAGGTGAGGATGGGATCTGGGCACAGGTGTAAGTACAAGAGCCAGGCTGAAAAGCCCTAGAGTATGTGGTAAAGCAAGAAGGCGCTCTTTGAGAGCTGTTTTTTGCTCTGTTACTTTATTCTCCCACCTATTATGCTATCCCTCTGTCTGTTCTGTGGGAAGTTTGGGCTTACTGGACAAAGCTTAGGCTGAAAGGATTGAGGCTTTGTGTGTGAGATGGTTATCCTAGTGTGAGTTTTGGTAAGTAAACATTAGAAATAATCTCAATGTGTTAACAGTGGGGAAATGTTTGGCAAATTTATATATCTAGTCAGTGGGCTATTTTACAGTATTTAAAGTGATAGAGATACCATACATAATTTATAGGTAAGTATTGCAAAAAGTAGAATGTAAAATGACATGTAGTATCCTTGCCCTTATGTAAAAACAAAATAATAGGGGAAAAAATTGTAGAAAAGAGTTACTGGGGAAAACATATATACTGAATGTCACAAATGCTTGTGTTAGGATGATTCCTTTCTTCTATTTTTGAAATGTCTTGTAATCATTTTTATTACTGTATAGTGAAAACAATTCCAATATTAATTGGAAAAAATAATCATACCCAACAAACTGTACAAAAAGTAACCCAACAACCCTATCCTTTTTGTAAATGGGAAAAGTAAAAGGTTTGCCCTTTATTTTTCCACAACTCTATCCCATTGATTGTGCTTCATGCTCAATTTCCCGTGGCAGTTATGACACATGGATCCCAGCCAGTGAAATTGAAGCATCTGTGGAAGATGCTCCAACTCCTGAGAAGCCTCGGAAGGTGAGCTCTCCTTGTCCGTGCTCCCTCCCCCGAGAAGAATCCCGGGGCCAGACTGCTCTTGGAGGTGGACAGAGAGGCTCCTGGGCCCTTGGGCTCCTCTGTTAAGGGTCCCCAGACAGCTCGGGCTTCCCGGCCTTTCCCCAGGACCGTCTGCTTTTGTACTTCAGGTTCATGCAAAATGGATCCTGGACACAGACACCTTCAATGAGTGGATGAATGAGGAAGACTACGAAGTAAATGATGACAAAAACCCTGTCTCCCGCCGAAAGAAGATTTCAGCCAAGACGCTGACAGATGAGGTGAAGACTCTTTTTCTTTTTTCCTGAGCCCTTAGCCCAGGTCTCAGAATGGTCTTCGCTGGAGACTGTTGGCTGCCATCTGCCCCAATTCTTCAACCTGCAGGTGAACAGCCCGGACTCGGACCGGCGGGACAAGAAGGGGGGCAACTACAAGAAGAGGAAGCGCTCCCCCTCGCCGTCGCCGACCCCGGAAGCCAAGAAGAAGAATGCCAAGAAGGGGTAGGCCAGCCCCGCCGGCGCCTGCCCTCCCTGCCCTGTCCACACGCTGGTCGAGGGAGGAAGGACAGATGCCCTCCTGTGACTGCCAGGCGCTGGCCTGCGAGAGGAGGGGTCTGTGGCGCTCCAGTGTCTGCTTCGGTCCTGGCCTGTAGTGAGCTCAGAGAGCTTCATCTGCGGGTGAAGGGCCTCCGCCTCCCCGCTCGCTTCGCAGTGATCAGTTTCTTCTTCGCTCAGCTCTGCCCTCAGGGTTTTCTCTCCCGTTTTTCTTCCTGGCAGTTGTTTTTTTAATTAGTTTATTTTTGGCTGCGTCTGGTCTTGGTTGCAGTGCTCGAGGTTGCTCAAGATCTTCCTTGCAGCCCGTGGGCTCTCTAGTATGGCACACGAGCTCTAGGGCATTCAGGCTTCGTAGTTGTGGCGTGGGCTTAGTTGCCCTGCCGCATGTGGGATCTTAGTTCCTGGAGCAGGGATTGAGGCCACTTCCCTGCATTGGAACGTGCATTCTTAACCACTGGACCAGCAGGGAAGTCCCTTCCTTGCAGTTTTATTGCAATGTAGCTCACATACAGCCCTGTAGAAGTTTAAGGAATACATCATGATTTGGTTTACATAAATTGTGAAGTGATTATCAAAGTACATTTGGTAAACATCTTTTGTCTCATGTAGATAGCCAATTAAAGAAATAGAAAAATAAGTAAAAAAAAAATGTTTTCCCTTGTTTTGAGAGCTCTCAGGATTTACGCACTTTTTTAAAATTTTTATTTATTCTTTATTTTTTGGCTGTGTTGGGTCTTCACTGTTGCGTGGGCTTTTCTCTGGTTGCGACAAGCAGGCGCCCCTCTCACTGGTGCTGAGCACGCCGCTCGTCCTGCTGCAGGGCGCAGAGCGGCACTTCAGTGGGTGCGGCTCCTGGGCTCTAGAGCCCAGACTTAGTAGCTGGGCGGGAGTTTAGGTGCTCCGTGTCACGTGGGAGCTTCCCGGCCCAAGGATGAAGCTCATGTCTCCTGCATTCTTAACCACTGAACCGGCAGGGAAGCCCAGGATTCACTCTCCTGAAACTTCCGTGTGCACCGTACCGCAGTGTTAATTACGTTTATCACATTGTACCTCACAGTCGCTTTGGGAGTTTTTCTTGCTTCCTTTCCATTGAACTCACCTTCCAGGGATTCCTTGTTCGAGGATGCCTGGATTCACGGGCACTTTCTCTCCTCCGCAGCCCCTCAACCCCTTACACCAAGTCAAAGCGAGGCCACAGAGAGGAGGAGCAGGAGGACCTGACGAAGGACATGGATGAGCCCTCGCCCGTCCCCAACGTGGAGGAGGTGACACTGCCCAAGACAGGTACGGGCCAGGCCAGGCTCCCGGGCCGCCCCCGCCCGGCCTGTGTTCAACCCTGCTGGGTGGGATGCCTTACCAGGCCCAGCTCCAGGTATAGAGACTCTTTCCCTTCAACTTAGCTGGTTATTGAAACCATTGTCATCACCACAGACAATCTAACTTCATTTCCATGTCTGAGTCTTGGACCATGCTGTCTCCAAACGTTTTTTATTACGCACTTGATAGCTCAGTTGGTAGAGAATCCGCCTGCAACGCAAGAGACCCTGGTTTGATCCCTGGGTTGGGAAGATTCGCTGGAGAAGGGACAGGCTACCCACTCCAGTATTCTTGGTCTTCCCTGTGGCTCAGCTGGTAAAGAATCCGTCTGCAGTGCGAGAAACCTGGGTTCAATCCCTGGGTTGGGAACATTCCCCTGGAGAAGGGAAAGGCTATGGCCTGGAGAATTCCATGGACTACAGTCCATGGGGTCGCAAAGAGTCAGACATGACTGAGCGACTTTCACTTTCAACGTCAGTAAGTTATACTTGAGCACAAATTATACGCATGTAGTGTTCACCACTACTTTTAGGAACATTATAAAACACATGCCTTATGTGGAAAGGAAGTTAGGAAAACATAGAGGATAAGATTAAAACAAGAGGTTCTAATATTCACAGCCTGTATCCCAGTGGCCCCTCTCTTGCGTCCCCACTTTGGAGACCACTGCTCTGCGGTACTGCTCTATGTCAGTATTCCACAGACAGCCAGGCATGGGTTTCAGGAGGAGGGCGGGGAATGCCCCTGAGAGAGGAGTCCCAGCTTTCACCCCTTCTTCCATCAGAGCAGCTCTCCTGTCTCTGTTTCCTGTGAGCTTCTGTGTGTGAACTCAGCAGAGGGAAATGTGTTCTGCTTTCGAAAATGTTTAAGATCCAGCCAGTCCTCTCCAGAGTGATTTGGTCAGACTCTGTCAGTCCAGAAGGAACTTGCAGACTTCTGTATGGAGATCAGGGGCCCAAAGACAAGAGTGATTGGTGAATGTTCGTAGAGTAGAAGACGCTTCTTTATAAGAAAAAGGTTGAGTAAGGTGAATTTTTGACGGGGGAAGGGGAGAAGTTTCAAGCTCTGGAATGATTGTGATTGGTCATTTTGTGACGGATGGAGCAAGCTTTGGGAGAAGGTGAGCTCTCTGGAGCTTCTCACAGTGGAGAGGTGAGGGCTTGATTTAGACAGAACCTGTCTGTTAAAAGGACTCTCTCCCCTGGCAGTCAACACTAAGAAGGACTCGGAGTCAGCCCCAGTCAAAGGAGGCACCATGACCGACCTGGGTAAGATGGGGCGCTTGGAGTAAGGCAGTCAGCACCTTGAGGCAGGGGCGGGAGGCCGGCCCCTGCCCCTGGCCTGCTGGGGCCTTTCCAGAAGTGCACTCGTTCTCCGGACCCTCAGACAGCACCAGCCTCTGTCTTGCTGTCTCTTCCAGATGAACAAGAGGATGAGAGCATGGAGACCATGGGGAAGGTAGAGCCAGTTTAGAGAGCCCCAGCTCTCCCTGGGATTCTGCCCCGTGATTATAAAGTTCCTTTCACCCAGACTTTCCACTGCCCAGACTCTTCCCAGCGTAGAACTCATTCTCACTGTTGCTCAAACCTCAGAGCCTTTTCAGCCCCAAGGCCCGTAACTGTTCCGTCCCATCCCACCTTTCGTGCCCACGTTCCCAGGGTGGGGAGGAGCGGGGGGTGGCTGCGGGCTGAACGAGAGGGCCGAGGGCGCAGCGGCCTGCGTGCTCACAGGACGAGGACGAGAGCAGCCCGGGCAACAAGGGGGAGCAGACCAAGAACCCGGAGCTGCACGAGGACAACGTGACCGAGCAGACCCACCACATCATCATCCCCAGCTACGCGGCCTGGTTTGACTACAACAGGTACCGCCGCTGCAGCCGCTCACGGCCGCCCCACTCTCCCGCGACCACGGGTCAGCGTGTTCCTTCTCCCGCCGCCTCAGCCAGCAAGGCTGCGGTACCGTGCAGCTGTAGGGGGGCTCCTAGTCTAGTTCTCAGATCCAGGCCTCCCGTTCCTGCTTGCTGCCCCTTGCCCCAGACGTTTCCTCCCTTTGGGGTCCCCCTCACGCCTTTGGGCTCCCCGCTCTCCACTCGAGCCTTCTCATTGCCCCCTGGCTTCTCCTGCAGTGTTCACGCCATCGAACGGAGGGCTCTCCCCGAGTTCTTCAATGGCAAGAACAAGTCCAAGACTCCAGAAATGTAAGGCCCTCCAGCTCGTGGTTCTCTTCCTCCTGATCCAGTTGGGCAAACACTTCTTGAGCTCCTTACATGAGCCAGGCAGTGCGCTCACAGGCAGCCTTGGCCCAGCGCTGGGACCCCTGCCCTCTGGGATCTGCCAGGGGCCGTGTGAGGCTTGCTCTTTTGTTCAGAACAAGTGTCTGCTCCCCCCTGGGCTCAGCTGTGTTTCCTCCTTCTGTTTCTTTTAACAGGGTTTAGAGCTTTCCATCCACAATTAGCTGTGCTCTCTAAAATGCAGATATCTCCAGCATAAGTAATCTCTGTGAATTAAAGGATGGAGAGATGTGTTTTGTAACGTCTGAGCCTGGGGCTCAGACATCTTCATGTCCCTCGAGGCTCCTCCTCAGACCAAACCTGCCTAGCTTTCGTTTGGTGATTTTTCTCTGGTTAGGAATGTTGCAGGATAGACATGGTCGGGCAGGTGGGAGCTGGTGCTGAGCCCGGGCCCCCTGAGGGCTGAGCGCACTGGCTTCCCAGTGGCTCCTCAGCTCCCCGTCCCCCTGCTCCGGGGTCCCCGGCTTCCCAGCGGCTCCTCAGCTCCCCGTCCCCCTGCTCCGGGGTCCCCGGCTTCCCAGCGGCTCCTCAGCTCCCCGTCCCCCTGCTCCGGGGTCCCCGGCTTCCCAGCGGCTCCTCAGCTCCCCGTCCCCCTGCTCCGGGGTCCCCGGCTTCCCAGCGGCTCCTCAGCTCCCCGTCCCCCTGCTCCGGGGTCCCCGGCTTCCCAGTGGCTCCTCAGCTCCCCGTCCCCCTGCTCCGGGGTCCCCGGCTTCCCAGCGGCTCCTCAGCTCCCCGTCCCCCTGCTCCGGGGTCCCCGGCTTCCCAGCGGCTCCTCAGCTCCCCGTCCCCCTGCTCCGGGGTCCCCATCCCTTCCACCATTTCTTTCCCCACAGCCTGGTATGGTTCTCTTCTCCTCCTCTTCCTGGGGAAAGCAGTGTATGAAGAAGCCTTGCTCTCTCCAGAGGCAGTAGTGACAGATGACATGAGTTCAACTTGATCTGCAGGGAGGGTTGGAACTAGAACTCTTCACACTTTGCACTCTGGGTGTAAAATGCCAAGTGACGATAATTGCCTATATGTATTGAGAGCCCTCTATCGCTAATTGCTTATTATCCTAAATATCCTACGTACCTTGATTAATTCAGTCTCCACATCAGCTTTAGCTGTAGGTCTTATTATCTTCAGTTTACTGACAAGGAGGGCTTCAGTCACTTGCTTAAAGTTGCACAGCTCATGAGTAATAAAGCTGGGGTCTGAGTCCTGCAGTCTGGCTCATGCTCTCAGGCTTTACGTTACACCACCCAGCAGCTGCCGGTTTTGGAGCTTGCAGAGCGCGCCCTGCACTACTCTGTGTCTCTGCAGACCTTTCTGTTCTCAACAGACACTTCATTTCATAGTTAAGGTGACTGAGGTTCAGAAACTTAAGGCCATCATAGTAGAACTAGGATTTGAACTTAGACCTTCCCACCTTCAAACATGTCTTCTCAAGGCTGTGCCCTGCTACCTAGGCGGAGGCACCCCTAGGACTTCCCTTTAACATCTGCCTTTGGAATTCAGGGCACTTCCTCTTTCTGATTTCTTTCCCAAATGTTGGATGAGGCATTTGTTAGCCTCATGGTTAGGATTCTGTTAGCCTAGTGGTTAGGATTCTGGACTTTCACTGCGAGGGCCCAGGTTCAGTTCCCGAGGGAACTGAGATCCTGCAAGCCATGTGGAATGGCCAAGAAAAAAAGTTAGATGAAACATCCCCAAGCACACACAGCCAAGGAGATAACTCATTTAATGAAAAATCCCATCAAGGGTCCGAACCCCTCACATCTAGCACACAGGAGACCCGCAGTGCATGTCAGATGAGGCATTCTTCTCTGTCACACATGAAGGCCGTTCTCCTCTTAACCAATTCTTCCCACCCCCCTGCCCTCTCATTGTTCCTCTCTCTCTCCTCTAAGCTACCTGGCCTATCGGAACTTCATGATTGACACTTACCGGCTGAACCCCCAAGAGTATCTCACGTCCACCGCCTGTCGCAGGAACCTGGCGGGGGATGTCTGTGCCATCATGAGGTGGGTCTGCAGCTGATGGGTGGCCCGCGCGCAAGGACGATGCACACAGATGCCTCTTGGCCAAAGCAGAGAGGCTGTTGGCACGGCGCATCGGGGATGAGCAGGAGAGACACCTCTAGAGAAAGGCCAAGTTCAGGCTGGGGTCAGGGTGACTTAGGGGATGGCAGGGCGCGCCCTGCAGTGTGGCGGGAGGGAGAAGGAGCCCGTCTGTAGTGAAGGAGTGTATCTGGTGAGAGATACAGGAAGCAATGTTTCACTGCTGGGTGGATATGGAGCCAGGCCCTGGTGCAGATGGAGACTGGGCTGTCCGCTTTGTGGGGGCCGGGAGGAGGCCGTATTTCCCAGGGAGGAGAAGGAGCAGAGAAGAGCCTACCCCCGGCCCTCTCCTCGTGTGTGACCCAGTCTCCGCCTCTCTCCTCACAGGGTCCATGCCTTCCTAGAGCAGTGGGGTCTCATCAACTACCAGGTGGATGCCGAGAGTCGACCAACTCCTATGGGGCCTCCACCCACTTCTCACTTCCACGTCTTGGCGGACACACCGTCAGGGCTGGTGCCGCTGCAGCCCAAGACCCCGCAGGTAGAGAGGGGCTGCGGGACGGGGGGGACCTGGGCAAACGGGCTTCTTTGGACTTTTCTTTTTCTGGTTTTTTTAGGGTAATATTTCAGGAGTGTTTTGAGGCTTCTTCCTTTTCCATGGGATTCAAAGGGCCACAGGAATCAGTCCCATGTATTTAGCACCCTCTTTCAGCCTTTGTATCTAAGACTGCAAGGACTTGCTGAGGGAGAAGAGATGCTTGTTGTCCTTGGGGAGCAGATAGGCTAATGTAGGGGATGGAACAGATAGAGAAAAATGGCTTACAATTCAGTTGCATGAAATTTTTTAACCTTGTCACGTTTCCAACATTTTTTTCATTTTTGCTTCATAATTTTTATCACTTCCATTTTTTTCCATTTCCATTTCATACATTACAAAAATTGTTATGTGGCTTGCCCAGGGTCAGACATGTAGGATTAGAACCTACTTGTCCAGCTCCTAAGAGAACCTGTAAAGATACAAGTGAATACAAGTGGATATCATGCCAATTCCGGATCTAATTAATTATTAAGGGAATACGGAACTGTGGCATGAGTGCCCCCCGAGCTTCGGGCTGCCCAGCGTCTGGTCTTGAGGCCTCCAGGGCCTCAGCCTGGTCATTTTGTGACCAGCCTCCATGACGCCAAGCTCTGTCCCCCAGGGCCGCCAGGGTGATGCTGATACCAAGGCTGGGCGAAAGGGCAAAGAGCTGGATGACCTGGTGCCAGAGACGGCTAAGGGCAAGCCAGAGCTGGTAGGTGGGGTGTAGACCCCGCTGGGCCGCTTCTTTGCCCCTTTACTGGGGGCCCCTGCCCGGGAAGAAGCGCCGTGAGAGCACAGGCGCTGCAGTGAGGGAGGAAGTCCCCCCAGGGGCGTCCCTGGCTGTGGGGAGGGAGCTCCTTCTGTCTGTCCTCTCTCTCTGTCTGCCCCTGGCTCCTGGCAGTCACTTGGATTCACCTCTTTCTTTCCCTTCCACAAATAGCAGAACTCCGCTTCCCAGCAAATGCTCAGCTTCCCCGACAAAGGCAAGGAGAAACCGGCGGACATGCAGAACTTCGGGCTGCGCACGGACATGTACACGAAGAAGAACGTGCCCTCCAAGGTGCGGGGTGCGGGCAGCAGGGCCGGTGCCCCCTCGGCCCTCGAGGCCGCGGCTCTCCCCGCTGACCCGCCCGCGTTTCCCCGCAGAGCAAAGCCGCAGCCAGCGCCACTCGCGAGTGGACGGAACAGGAGACCCTGCTGCTCCTGGAGGTAACGGGGCCCGGGAGGGGCAGTCCTGCGGGAGTGGGTGGCCAGGGCGCCGGCCACACTTGGGAGTGGGGAGGGCGTGATCCTGCCTGTCTCTCCTCCTGGCGCCTAGCGCACTCCCCCCGGGGCCAGCGCCGGGCAGGGACTGAGGCCGTTTTGTCAGCCCCTGTCCTCTCCAAGCGCTACTTGGAGACTCCCCTTGGGCCTGGCAGGGTCCAGGCGTGTCACCAGCCAGAGCGCCCCGAGGCAGCCCTGCTCAGCGGGGCGGGGGACGCGGGCCTCGAGGGCGGCGGCTGCTGGAGGGAGTGCGGCTGTGCCGCCACTGCAGGCGCTGGAGATGTACAAGGACGACTGGAACAAGGTGTCCGAGCACGTGGGCAGCCGCACGCAGGATGAGTGCATCTTGCATTTCCTCCGGCTGCCCATCGAAGACCCGTACCTGGAGGACTCGCAGGCCTCCCTGGGCCCCCTGGCCTACCAGCCCATCCCCTTCAGCCAGTCAGGCAACCCTGTGATGAGCACCGTTGCCTTCCTGGCCTCTGTCGTCGACCCTCGAGTGGCCTCAGCTGCTGCGAAGTCAGCCCTAGGTAACGCGCGGGCTGCCAGCCCTCTTGGTCTGCCTTGGAAAGGCTGGGTGCGCTGGCCGTGGAACCCCCCACGTCCACTCCCCTGCTGGCCTTGTCTGCGGCTGGCGTCAGCCCAGGCAACAGCCCAGCTCCATGCGGGTGGAGAGGGGCTCTCCCACAGAGTGCCAGAACTGCCTGCCTGCCCGCCCCCAGCCTCCCCCTGTTTGGGTCTTACAGAAGAGTTCTCCAAAATGAAGGAAGAGGTCCCCACAGCTTTGGTGGAGGCCCACGTTAGGAAAGTGGAAGAAGCTGCCAAAGTGACAGGCAAGGCGGACCCAGCCTTTGGTCTGGAAAGCAGTGGCATCGCAGGGACCACCTCCGACGAGCCGGAGAGGATCGGTAAGGCCTGCCGTGTTCCCCATTTCCTCCCTTTGTACGAGCAGCCTCAGCCGCCTGGCCTCCCCACACCATCCCTGCCTCCCCCCGACCTCAGAGCGTGAGACGAATGGGGTGAGTTGGTGGGGCTTTGCTTTAGGTACCGTGGCTTCCCGCTGCTTCTCTCAGCAAGATCTTGGCTAGAAGGGGCAGTTGGGAGAGTGTGGTAGACCAGCTGTCAGACATTTCCTGTTTCCTCTTCCCCTGGACCCAGAGGAGAGCGGGACTGACGAGGCGCGGGCGGAGGGCCAGGCCACAGAGGATAAGAAGGAACCCAAGGTACAGCGGGATTGACACGGGCTGGGAAGGCAGAAGGGTCCGGCGTGGACCAGGGAAGGGGAGCCGGCTCCACTTAGCTTGGGCAGGCAAGGGCTGGGCTCGGATGGGGCTGCGTCCTGGATCCAGATCCCCTCCGCAGTGAGAGGTGTAAACTCAGCTCCTGTTCTGGGCTCTGTGTGCGAACCAGCACCCTGACACTCCCCTTTTTCCTTTCCCTGGGACTCCAGGAACCTCGAGAAGGAGTTGGGATTGCGGAGGAAGAAGCAAAGGAGAAGACCAGTGAGCCACCCAAGAAGGACGATGAGAAGGGGAAAGACGGCGACAGCGAGAAGGAGTCAGAGAAGGGTGACGGAGACCCGACAGGTGAGCCGCGCGCGGTGGTCGGGGTTCAGAAAGAAGCCAGGCTCAGGGCTCACAGCCCTCTCCCTGGCCCAGCGGATCCTGAGAAGCAGAAGGAGCCCAAGGAGGGGCAGGAGGAGGTGCTGAAAGAAGCCGCGGAGTCGGAGGGGGAGCGGAAGACGAAGGTGGAGCGTGACATCGGCGAGGGCAACCTCTCCACTGCTGCCGCCGCTGCCCTGGCTGCCGCCGCCGTGAAGGCCAAGGTGAGGCCCGGACCCAGGGAAGGAGGTACCGCTCCTCATCGCACGTCCCCTGGCAGAGAGCCTGCCTTGTCATCCTTACCCAGTGCTGGCCTGCCTCCTGTCCGTTTCGGATCCTGAGAGGGACAGTTGGTCATCTCTTCTCTCATCTTTTTTAAGCCTTTATCATTAGGCCTGTTTTGTTTCTTGTTTGCAGGTTTTTTATTGTAAAACATTTTACTTATTTGGCAGCACCGTGTCTTCGAGCACAGGCTCTGGAGCGAGAAGGCTGCAGTAGCCGTAGCTCGTGGGCGCTGGTTGTGGCACTTGGGGCCGTGGGCTGACTTGCCCCACGGCCTGCGGGGCGTTAGTTCCCCGACCGCGATCGAACCCACGTGCTCTGCGTTGGAAGGTGCATTCTTAACCACCAGACCGCCGGGAAGTCCTGAATGGGCCTGTCTTCACCCTCTCGACTATTTGACCATGTCTTGTCCTTTGATATTCTCTCTTTTTTCATGTTCTTTTAAAAATACCACTCACGCCTGTGCTACTCTCTGGGTTGTGACCACAGCAAGCTCTGTCTTAAAGCCTGTCAGCCCCCACCCCACCCTCCTCTGTTGCCCAGCGTCTTCAGCTGGGTCCCCCCGCTGATGGCCACCCCGCCCCTCCTTCCTTAGCACTTGGCTGCCGTTGAGGAGAGGAAGATCAAATCTCTGGTGGCCCTGCTGGTGGAGACCCAGATGAAAAAGCTGGAAATCAAACTCCGGCACTTTGAGGAGCTAGAGACGATCATGGACCGGGAGCGGGAAGCGGTGAGTCAAGTCCCTGGCGGGTGGCGGGGCCCCACGTTGGCGCTGGGCTGGGCCTCGGTTTAGGGCGAGGGGAGCAGCAATACAGGGAACCCGAGGCTGGCAGGGCACCCCAGCGGAGCAGACCAGGGCAGCAGGAGCCGGCCCGGGCGGCTCGGGACCCGTGGCCCACAGGTGCAGCCTGGAGACTGAGGTCCCGCAGAGTGTCAGCCCCAGGGTCAAGTTCTTGTTGGTTCTTTGCTGCATCTCCAGGTCCTTGAAGTCTGCTTAGTCCACGGTAGACTTGATACGGAGTGATTGTTGAGTGATTGGACAGGTTTAAGGCATGATGAGAGGGTAAGGGCCTCAGGTTCGGGGGTTGAAGTCAGGGAATAGGATGGACATGGTGTTGAATCATTTTGATTCTTAGAAGATATGAAAGAAGTAGAAAGACAAGGACCCTGATCCTGAACTCCTCAATTGAAGATATCAGATATCCCATATGGAGACATCAAAGTTGGTTAATGCTTCAAGTATCTGACAAATGCAAATTAAGAGATTTCCAATCCAGTATTAAAGTCTGAGTGAGAGCAGAATAAAGGCCAAAGCCCAGAGGCCAGTGAGGAGGTTTGGGAGGGCTTCCTAAGAATTGTGTTTTTCTTCAGTTTTGAAGGAGGGAAAGAACATGATTTGACTAGAGGAACTTGGTTGGGGAGGAGTCGGTTTCCAGATGAAAGTAATGACAGATTCAAAGCTTTGGAGCTGAAAATGAACAAGGGCTACCATCAGATTAAGTCCACTTGTCCGCTGCAGTGAGAAGCCATGCGGGCCGCCGGAAGACCGGGTGGGGGGATCTGGAGAGGGGAGGGGAGGCGAGAGCAACGGAAGCCAGGCGCGAGGCTGCGGTTTGGTGTGGGGATCGCCGGCGTGGGAGGCTGGGCTTGTCAGATGACAAAGTGGGGGGCAAGGTGTGCGCCTTGGGCTTCCTGCCGCCGGCTGACAGCTCCCCATCCTCCCGGCAGCTGGAGTACCAGAGGCAGCAGCTGCTGGCCGACAGACAAGCCTTCCACATGGAGCAGCTGAAGTACGCAGAGATGCGGGCCCGGCAGCAGCACTTCCAGCAGATGCACCAGCCGCCGCCGCCGCCGCCGCCACCGGCCCTGCCCCCGGGCTCCCAGCCAGTCCCGCCTCCAGGCGCCGCCGGGCCCCCCACTGTCCACGGCTTGGCCCTGGCTCCAGCCTCTGTGGCCCCGGCCCCTGCGGGCAGCGGGGCCCCTCCTGGAAGCCTGGGGCCCTCCGAACCGCTCGGGCAGGCAGGGCCTGCTGTGGGGCCACAGCAGCAGCCAGCAGCGGGAGCCCCGCAGGCTGGGGCCGTCCCACCAGGGGTGCCGCCCCCTGGACCCCACGGTGAGCGATGGCCCCTGAAGCTCTGGCCAGTGGCGGGGTCTGGGGGAGTGTTCCAGTTCTCAGAGGCAGTGTGTGATAGGGCTGGAGATAAGGATTGACCTCGGTTTCTACAGATCCTCCTTCACCGAGGCTATTCCCTAAGTCAACAGGGCTCCCTCCCCCGAGCCAGATTTTTGGAATTTTGTTCCAAGGATTTATCACTCAGTCCTAGCATCAGGAAAAGGGAAGGTGGTGCCTCGGAGTGACTGGGTTATCCTCACTGTGAGAGTGAGTTGGTGAGTAAAATTGTACGCCTCCAATCTTCTCCATCTCTCCGCTTCATTCCCAGGCCCCTCACCGTTCCCCAACCAACAAACTCCCTCAGTGATGCCAGGGGCAGTGCCAGGCAGCGGGCACCCAGGCGTGGCGGGTAATGCTCCTTTGGGTTTGCCTTTCGGCATGCCGCCTCCCCCTCCCGCATCATCCATCATCCCGTTTGGTAGCCTAGCCGACTCCATCAGTATTAACCTCCCCCCTCCTCCTAACCTGCATGGGCATCACCACCATCTCCCGTTCGCCCCGGCCACGCTCCCCCCACCTAACCTGCCTGTGTCCATGGCGAACCCTCCACACCCTAACCTGCCGGCGACCACCACCATGCCATCTTTGCCTCTCGGGCCGGGGCTCGGATCCGCCGCAGCCCAGAGCCCTGCCATTGTGGCGGCTGTTCAGGGCAACCTGCTGCCCACTGCCAGCCCGCTGCCAGGTGAGGAGGGCCCTGCAGGGACGCGGGGGTGGGGGGTGGGGTCCCCGGGGCGGGGCGGAGGGCAGGTGGGGAGGGGCTCGGGGACCGGGGCTGCCAGGACCCTTTTTTTGAACGCTGTGGTAAAATTAGAACACAGGAGGGAAGGGCCTCTCTGGCTGTCCCCCACCATTCCCCAGCCTGGCAGCTGCCCCCTGGGATGACGCTGGGGCCTTCCACTGGTGGGTCCTGGAGGAGTCCTGTGACAGAGCATCTCAGTTGTAAATTGGAAAGTCAGCTCCTTGTTTGCATGACGTTTGCTTGTCCCCGTCACGCTCAGGTGCCCCATGTAGAGTTCCCTGGGGGGGCAGGAGGACAGTTAGGGGCACAGCAGCTCTCCCAGCGTGTGGCAGGAGAGGGCGCTGGGGAAAGGAAGCTCTCCGTCGCGGGCACTCTCATCTCCGTCCATCGCATGCCACGCCCGGCTGTGTGTCTGGTGGCCTGGATCTGGACCCTCTCCTGCTCACCTCAGCTGATGCAACTTTCTTCTCTCCACAGACCCAGGCACCCCCCTGCCTCCAGACCCCACGGCCCCGAGCCCAGGCACAGTCACCCCCGTGCCACCCCCACAGTGAGGAGCCGCGTGACATCTCTCTCCCTCCTCACCCCCCGCGGAGATCAAGGTTCCAGGAACAGCCCCGTCCCCACCACTGGGACCCTTCCCCAGCCTGGAGAGTTCGTCACTACGTAAGAAAGTCCTCCTGCCCCTCCAGAGCCCCCACCGTGCCTGTCAGGGGCATGCGTTTTTATATTGGATGATTCAAGGACTTCTGTGGAAAAGATGTTTCTAATGTCTGGGAGGGAAGATAGGATGGGGACGCTGCCCTCAAAGGAAGGGCTGGGGAAGGTCTTAATGAACCACTGTTAAGGGTACATCCCCACAAACTACTGCATTTTTTATGGATTGGGAAAAAAAAAAAGCCCTTTAAAAGGAAGTAGAGATTTAAAAAAGCCCTCCAACCAGTGAGAAAAGTCCAACTTTTGCATTTTTCGGAGGAGGGAGGTGAGTTTTAGGGAAGGGGTATCTAGGTTCTGGGGAGAGCTCTGATAGAATAGTGGCAGGGTCTGTCTCCTCCAGCCCTCGTTAGCGAGTCAGCCCCCACCCGCTCGGCTGCCGTTTATTCCCACTCCTGTCTCCTGCTTCCTCAGTGTCCTGCTTAGGCCCCCCCGGCTCAGCCAGTGACCCCGTTCCCTCTGAATGTCAGTTTTGTGTTTTTAAAGTCTCCTGCGTAGTAGATGTCAGCGTATGTCTATTTGGTGGGGAAACGTCTCGGGAATTCCTGTGGTAGGTGGTGGAGGAAGAAGGGGCACATGGGGCTGTGTGGCCTCCTCCCGGGCCTGATTCCCGGAAGATGCGGAGAGGGGAGCACCAAAAGAATGGGAAGTTTTTAAAACGTGGGATTGTCAAAAAAGCACTTAAGCACCTCCTTCTTAGAGGGACGTGGTGGGTCCCTCTGTCGCCTCTTCCCTCCCACCGTGACTGACGCGGCTGGTGGTGGGGAATTCCCTGGGATTTGGGGTGGCAGCTGGGTACGGGGGCCTGGCCTGGGGGCGTGCCAACCCCCCGATGGCAGCGCGTGCTCAGCTCTGCTCCCCAGATTGCAGCACCCCGAGTACCAGCCGTCCCCTCTTCATCCCCGATGTGAAGACAGCAGTGATCCCAAGGCTCTCCGCCGATTCGGTCCCTCCCGCCAGGCCCTTTGTTCCTCATGTCCCCGTTTCTCCTCCTCTGCGTCTTGGCACCTTTCTTCTGTTCGAAAGTTTTCTGTAAATTTTCTTTTCTTTTCCCCTTTTTTTTTATAAATTAATTTGCTTTCTGTTCCATCTTGTGGATGCCTTCTGTGTTGCCTTAGCCGTGGCAGTGAGGCAGGGGGATGGGCGGGAGGCAGCACCCGGGAGTCCTTCCAGCAGCGTTGGGCGGGGCCGCAGAGATGCCCGACCAACACCGGGCCAAAGGCAGCCCAGCTGTCGGGGCTGAACAACTGCCCGGGCCGGGGAGAGGCTCTCACCTGCTCTAAAAATAGCCACTTAAGATTTGGAAGGACATCTCACAACCTGGAAATTTTGTCTATTTATCCTTTCAGAAGTGGTGGCTTCATGTCTTCCCTTATTAGGCAGGAGAAGGCAGGCATCTCAGCTGCTTGTTATTGTTGGCCCTGGGCCTCGCTGAAGTGACAGGCCCAGGCAGTACTAATATGGCCTGACTTTCGCCCCAGTAAACACTTCCCGGGCTCCCTGACAAGAGGCCTTCCATGGCGGGGAGGGCTAGGAGAGGACTCAGCCCCACATGGGATGGGATAAGGGTGGCCAGCCTTCGTTCTGCGGGCATTTATGGCTTTCCTAACCACCCCAGTGCAGCCTTTGTAGCACCGATGAGTGAAGCCAGCGTTTCTTAACTGAGGCAGAGGTGGCTCCTTACAGGCCCTAGGCTGGCTTTCCCCAGCCTCGGCTCCACTGACCCGGGACAGTGTTCCCTCTCACCCTGCTCAGGAAGAATAGCAGAACTGCACATAGAGCAGAGAACAAGTTTATTTGGTGAATGCTGATGGCAGACATATCCAAGAGAGAGAATCTGGGGAAAATACTGTGACAAGAGAGCCTAGGAAGCCTCCAGGCTACATACAGTCTCCCACAAGGACGGTGCAGTGTCCACGCACACTGGGGACATCCTCAGCCATTCAGCACCATGCGGACAAGCTCTGTGGAGAGGAGAGGGGGGTGAACCAGGGAGCGGGGCGAAGGGGAGGGGTCCGCCAGGGGCCGGGAGACCACAAGACCACAGAGGCAGCGTAAGAAGGAATGTGCCCACCGCACATTCAGCTTGCAGAGGGGCCACCTGGAGTCTGACCAGTACTCTCGACCCCCAGCCCCCCTCCCACCGGCTGTCAGTCCCCCCGCCCCACCCCGAGCAGCAAGAACACAGCAGAGGCGGAAGAGTTTCCGACTACGCCTACAGCTACTGCCAGCCACTGGTGGGAGGAGGAGACAGAGTTTTGGGTTAGGGTACCTCCAAGCTGCCCAGCGGAAAGAAGGGGAAAAGATCTACAGCAGCACGATGGGGCAGGCAACCCACGCCCCCCGCCCTCCACGTGATCCCGGGCTAAAGGACCATGAAGCCAGACGGTAGGTAGGCTGGTGTGAGTTCCCGGACACCAGCGCCCCAGAAGCCACCCAGACCTCAGAGCCCGTTCCAGGAGAGCAGGAGGTACCAGCCCCCAAGGCTGTCCTCCTCGTCCCCTCCCCAGTCAGCTCCATGCAGAAACATGCCGGGAGGAGGAAGTCAGATGGTGAGGGGAGAGGGCAGGGGCTAGAGAGCAAAGGCTGGGGAGAAACCCACGGGGAAGGGCAACTAGGGGAGGGGGCTGGGAGAGCCGTACCCGCCCCACGGGCCCGTCACCCCGACAGGATATGCCTCACAAACGCTGCAGGAAGGAAGAGACATGGTGAAGACAAGACACAGGCGTGGGGTGAAGGGGTCAGGCAGCCAGGGGCTGGACATCCCTTTGTTTTCACCTCCCACCCCTTACCCACCCTGCAGGCCCTGGGAGTCCTTCCCTTCCGGTCACACCCCCCTGGCTCCCATTCCTGGCTGGGCTGGGCCCTGCCCGTGCCCCCTGGCACCTTTTTAGGAGCCTGAATCCAGGATGGGCAAAGCCCCCAGTGCTGTGTGTGACCTGCCCCGTGAGACCCCGGTTCGTCCCTCACCTTCGTAGTTGATACAACCGTTGCTGTCCTCATGCCCTGCCACCAGCATCTCTACTTCTTCCTCTGTCATCTTCTCACCTGCAGAGGGGAAGGGAGCACGCACGTTCTGGGGTCGGCTGACATCGGGAGGTCTAGCAGCTGGCACCTCAGGAAGGGCAGAGGCTCACCCAGTGTGACAAGAACGTGCCGGATCTCAGCGCCCATGACGGTGCCATTCCCTTCCTTGTCAAACACCCGAAGGCCTTCCACATAGTCCTCGTAGGTGCCCTGGTCCTTGTTCTTGGCCACAGTCTGCAGCATGGGCAGGAAGTGCTCAAAGTCCAGTACCTTCACGTTCATCTCTGCCAAAAAAGAAGTAGAAGCTAAGTCATATGTGTTCTCAGGACTGGGGGTTAAGGGACTCCCGCTCCAGGCAGAAATCTGTGGGATTTGCTAGACAAGACCCGCTCTTGTTTGTGGCCTAGGAAGATAAAAGGAAGCTATTAGCTGAAGACTGCAGGCCCACCACCACACTACGGAGTTGTTCTGAAGGACCCTCACCATCACTCTTGGGGTTCCCCAGGACTTTGAGCACCTCGGCGTTGGTGGGATTCTGGCCCAGGGCCCTCATCACGTCCCCACACTGACTGTACAGGATCTTGCCATCCCCCGTTCGGTCAAACAGCTGGAAGGCCTCCTTGAACTCTGCGGATTCAGATAAATATCAGTACGGGACCCATGGGTGTTAACCCCAACCCTCCTCCACAGTCCCCACTGCCCATTCAACTCTGATCATGCTGATGAAATCAAATATTTATAACAGTGTACACTCAAGCCCTCTGAGAGGGATCCAGTGTCTGCTCCTCCCAACTCAGGTGTCCCACATAAAGGCCTGGCCTTCCTCAACCCTTAGCAGAGTGGTAACGGCCACTTACGTACCCTCTCCGCCTGCAGCAAGCCTGCCCAGCCTCCTCATTACACAACTCAGGGCAGGAATTTGCCACCGCCCAGTCTGGGCCCTGTCCTTATAAGGAAGTGGGAGCAGCGGCCTGGGCCTGGGGTCATCCCAGCCTGCCGCGTCTCCCCCCTGCAGTACCGGGTCCTTTCACAGGGCACTGCTACAAAGAAGTACCCTCAGCAAACTCCCCTGTCGCACTTTCACAGTGAAACAGATCCCTGCTGTTTACAGCCTTCACAGTTCCAAGCTGAGGGGAGGGGGTGGTTATCGCGGGAGGAAGAGGCAGAAGTGGCTGATTAAGGAACAGAGGAGCCCAAGCAGCTTAACACACCGTCCCCAAGCCCCCCACACAGCAGGCATCAAGTTGTTTCACACACCCACAGCACCTACAACAACTCACCCAGCGCTTGGGGCTCAGATCTAGAGTAGAAGGGAAGGGAGGAAGAAAGAGTGAGAAAAGAAAATGCAAGATCCAGAAGGAAGGAGAACGGAACCCAAGAGGTGCTCCCCTGGGGGCGCGGAAGAGAAGGCAGGTAGGGGTGAAGGAGCTCGAGGGCGTGTCCCTCTCCCTAACATGACCTCAACGGGGGTCAGAGATGGCCTACCTGCGGTCTGATCCTCGGTGAAGTCACACTGCTCGGAGAAGACGAGGGTGGTCAGCATCTTAACTCCAGTCCCCCCAGCTTCCGTCCCGGTCCCAAGAACTCAGAACCACAAACTCCTGTTCCGCGCGGGGGACTCGCTTCCCGGCAGGGTGGGATCCCAGACACTCCAACCCCACCAACCCTCGAGGGCCTCAGGCTCATTTACCCGCTCCTCTCTGCCCGCTCCCCGCCCCCTCCCCCCGGCTTCCCGCCTCTCGCCCCAAATCCCGCTCATCCCCTCGGCCCCGGGCCCCACCATCTTGACGCTCGGCTCTGCGGGACCTTTTCCTGCAGTAATGGCTCCGGCTCCTGGCCCAACCCTAGGCTTAGTGCGTCCCGATGACGTCACCAGCTGACCCAGCCAATGGGGATCCTGGCCCGGGTTTATGCAGATGACGTTACTATATTAGTAATGAGGTGGGCGGGGCCGGCTGGTGTCCTGGTCTCCAGAATAGCCCCACCTGGGGCATAGACACTGCAGAACGAGGTGGAATGGGGCGCGAGGACTCTGCTCTTCCGAGCAGCGAGAAAGTCAGAGGAGGTCGCACTGGTGGATGCGGGTGGGAACAGGAGAGCCTTCTCTTTCCCTCCCCCACCTCTAAAGAAAGCAAGAGTCGGAAGCTAAGGGAGGAAACGTCTCTTTATTTTGAAACAATAGCCTCCTAGCGGCAGGAACGTGCTTTTGCCTGGTGGGGGCCCAGCGTCCGACCCCACTGCACCTGTGGAAAAAGATGAACGCTGCCAAATCCTGCCGCTCTCGCGCAGCAAGACACGGAAACGCGCTTCCCTGCTTTTGTACGCAGGCAGAAGGTCAGGAAGGAGGCTTGCCTCTCAAGGCGCAGTGAGAGCGCCCTACCTGCATTGCTCAGACGCTTAGGATGTGCTTCAGGAAGGCTGCAGAGAGAAGAGGCAAGAGGGGCTTCAGAAGCTGGCCTGATGCTAACCCATCTGACTTTAGATAATTCAGGCTCCAGGATGCCTCCACCCACTTACCTCGGGCCTCCGCCTCCCTCCTCCCCAGTCGTTTCTGCTCCTCTGGCCCCTCACCTTCATAGTTGATGCAGCCACTGCTGTCCTCGTGCCCTGCCAAAACAGACTCCACCTCCTCTTCAGTCATCCTCTCTCCTGGGTCCAGACACACACAGTGTTTTAGCCCCTGCCTTCCCTCCCTCATCAACCCACACCTCTTTCTTCTGGTGGTACCTCCTCTTCTCCCACCCCTGGAGACTTGCCCATAGCAACAGTCCCCCAAGAGAATTCCCTCTTTGTAGTGGGCATGAGTCTTGCTTTACATTTCGCCTCAATTATAGGTGGTGAAAGCTTTGACGGACAAGGAAACTGAATTCTAGAGGATTAAGAAACAGACCATATCATAGAGTACAGTCATCTCTTCTCAAGACTGAAACTCAGATTCCCCGCCTCTTTCCCTTTCCTCCGCCCTTTGGGAGGCACTTTAGACTGAAGGAGGAAGACCTTCAGATCCTGTCCCTCAGGCTCTGACCTTCTCAGGCTCCCGTCCATGCCCCACAGGACAGTAATCCCTCACTGGCTCTGCCTACTGGGCTACCCTTCTTAGTTCATCCCCTCCTCTCCACACCCCCAGGCGTTCTGGTGCCTGCCTCACCCAGGGTGGTGAGGACATGTCTGAGCTCAGCTCCCATGACTTTGCCGTTCTGTTCTTTGTCAAACACTCGAAGCCCCTCCAGGTAGTCCTGGTATGAGCCTCGGTCTGGCATCTTGGCGACAGCCTGGAGCATGGGCAGGAAGGTCTCAAAGTCCACACGCCGGGACTTCAGCTCTGAGATGGAGGTGAAGGAGAGGTTACCATGGTGTCACCTAGGACCCAACTCCCATCCCCACCATGAAGGGTTTCAGCCATTCAGCATTCAGATAGTTTTCTGCCCTTATGTTTGACAGTTTTTAAAGTCCTGGGACCCACCTCAGCATCCTTTATCACCTTACCAACATTCCACCACCAAACTGAAAACCCTCATTATCCCAGAGGTGCCCTCACCATCACTCTTGGGGTATCCCATGACCCTGAGCACCTCGGCGTTGGTGGGGTTCTGGCCCAGAGCCCTCATCACGTCCCCACACTGGCTGAACTGGATCTTGCCATCCCCCACTCGGTCATACAGTTCGAAGGCCTCCTTGAACTCTGGAGTGTAACGAGAGGTCAGTGTTGACAAGGGGTTCCCATCACACCAGGAGAGAGGAAATTCAGAAACAATGTGCTTGAGCTGGGCAGAGCAGAGAACGCAAGGAGCATGAGTGTGGGAGGTTTCAAGGTCAGGAATGGAGGTAGGGGATTAGACAGAGGATCTGACTAGGGGCTGGGGATGGCCAGTGGGCTCAGGGGCGTCTCCTCACCCTCCAGCTGGTCCTTGTTAAACTCGATCTGTGGAAGAGAAGAGCAGGTGAGGAGAGATGACAGGACTCACTCAATCCCTCTCCAGCACTCCTCCCGACCAACTGGCAGCCACTTCTGGGGAGGGGCCCGTAGGGACCAGGCTGGGAACCCAGCCACCGCAGTCCCATTCCCAGCTCCAGAACTTGGGAGAATCCCAAGAGGAGGAATTATTGGGGGGAGGGTTTCCTGGGAACAGGGTTAATCCCATGCCACCTGTTCCCCTCCCTCTCCTGCCCTGAGCCCTGCATCCCTCACATAACTGGGGGCTGAACAAAGGCTAAATTTACCCCTGGCCCCCAGCTGTGATTGTCTAACAAGTCTGTCCTCTTCAGCCTTCCCTCCTGGGGTTCAGAGCTGTGGCTTTTCATATCAAATAGGCAGACAGGCACAGGCGGCAGCTCCCCCCTTTCACCTTGAAACTGTGCTGAGAACCCAGATGTTCCCCATCTTACAGGCTCTGCCTCCAGCAGGACAGTCAGTGACAAAACGATGCACATACACACGTGTTATCGGTTAGAGGCAGAGGGCAACAAAGAAAAGACTCATCAAGTCTAGATGCTTCCAAGCGGGGGTACTAAGAAAATCCCCACCATCGTCCAGTGCTTACTGATTCCCTACCTTCTAGATACCCGTAGTCCCCTAGGCTGTATCCCACTGGTGTACCAACCCCTCCATTCTTTTCTCACTTTTCAGGGACTTACCACCACTTTGGAGAGATCGATGGGGGGCTCCTGGGGTTTCGCAGGTTTCTCAAGGATTAGAGGGACAGGTGGTGGAAGCTCAACCCTGGATGGAGGGGGCCCCACTGCGGGCTTAGCAGCAGGCTTGGAGGCAGCAGGGGGCCCCACTGGTTTCTTCACGGGAACATCCTTCTTGGGAGGCATGATGTCGGGTGGCCAAAGGACAGTGTGCCGATGGGGGCACCCATCTCTGTTTAAATAGTCAGGGAGTCTGGGATGTCAAGGGGCGGGGGCAGGGGCAGGGAGCCAGTTGGCTGTGGGGAGGGTGAGATAGAGGAGAGAGATGCCGGCTGCCCTCACTCCTCTGGCCTCGTGTGGTTCAGGATTCCTGCCCCAAGGTCTTCTCCCTTCTGTCCACCCTGCCCCAAATGCTGACCAGAACAATGGCCCTTTGGGGGCAGGGGGAGGAAGGCAGAGACAGCCCAGAACGGGGGAGTTAACTTTCAGGGTGCAGATAGGAGGGTTGCCAGGGACAAACTGAAGCAGGGGTGAGGAAAAGAAGGGGACCAAGGAAATTCCGACCCCCTGACTCGGAACAGACCTTTTTCCTAGCAGCTTTAGATTCTTGAAGATGGAGGCAAGGATGGGGGCCTTATTAAAGTGGGGTCTGGGAGTAGTGAAAGGGGAAAAAGACAAGCAGCCCTTCCACTTCCCTCTTCCTATGGATGAGGAGCAGGGTAGTTCACCCCACAGCTTATAATACTCGGTACCTCAAGTCCCTCCCTCCCAGCCCAGAACTGGAACTGTGCACTGCCCCATACGGAGAGAGTAACAGAAGGGTGTGACTCCCACCCACTGTCTCCCATCCCTAGTGTTGTTTTAGGAGTGGGGATGGAGGGAAGGATTGAGTTTAATACCCATCACCCATACTCCGAAGAAAGGAGCTCTAGTCCACAAGCCTATGGTCATTTAAGTCAGACAAAGACGGGCTGCCTGCTGAACCTGCAGGGACTCCATGGTGGCACCTGAGGGGAAAGGCAGCTCTGAGAGGCAAAAGGCCTGATTTCTAAAATCTCTAATCCACAAAGGTGTGCGAGGTCCTCTGGGCTCCATGAGTATTCAACCCTCAACCAGAAGGAGAATAAAACCCTGACTTGGCAGTCAGGTTGCAAAGCTTGCTGGGGGCACTGGGGAAAGGTGGAAGTCAGGGGCCTATGAAGGAGGGGAGGGTTTGCTGATTATTTTTGTACTGGGGGTAAAGAAAGCGATGATTTAGATAGCATTCTGAGAAAGACAGTAGTGATTCCATTTAGGGGTTTAGAGAGTTGATGCTGGGTCTCCTACTCGCAAAAAAAACCCATCTGAACCTCATTACTGCAAATCGTCTCATTTTAGGAAAATCAGAATCTTTGCTCTAGCCAGGAGTACATCTCACACACATACACACACAGACCCCTACACACACACCCCTAAGCCTTAAATAAAGGAAAGAGCCACCTCCCCAGCGCCCCAAAACTCACCCTGCGGGGCCCAGGTAAGGGGCGGAGGCGGGGCGCAGGGCAGCCGCGGGCCCTGAAAGGGTTAATTTCTGCGGCCTCGGAGCATGCCGGGAGATGTAGTCCTCGCGCGCCCGCGGGCTCACGGGAAGCACCGCGGGGAGTCTCAGGGAGGATGCCGGCGCAGTGACTTCCGGCCCGCGGCGGCGGTTGGTGACTCAGGTTTTGGGGGTGCGATTTTTGTCCCAGAAGCGGAAGGCAGTGAGCCTTTTACAGCCCCCGTCCCTGACCGTAAGACCGTGCGTGGCCCCTCAGGATAGCTCCTTTCTTGGCTCTGAGTTCCCCGTTTAGTGTGGGCGCGGATTTATTCCTGAATCCACCGGGAAGAACGCAGAACGAGGGGGGAAAGGCTGCGGCTGCCGCAGGCCGGATGGAGGTCAGATAGTAGGAAGCACTCACTCCCTCGGGCATAATGGTTCGGCCTTTTTAGCGTCCTCTTACTGTTTGGTGGAAAGAGAACAGAAGCCGTTGAGTTGCCTTGTGACTTGGAACAGTTAAATGAAGCTTTTCTTTTTTTTAAAAATGAACTGGTAGTTGAAGTGTTAAACTTTGGAATTAAGCCGGGTCCCCTGCCCTAGTCGCTCTAAGTTGAAATTTCCCCATTAAGCGGCAGCGTATGTACCAGCTTCCCAGTCGTTTCTTCACAGGTCTTGGAATGCAGGGCTGGCTTCTCCAGCCTTCGACTATGAGAAGTCTCTGCCCAGCACTGGACACCTCCTTCCCGCAGATGGCTGTTGGGTTTAGATTTTTTAAAACTGAGGTTAGGCGCACAAATATAAGTTTGACGTGCGCTACATGGTGATCCGCAGGTTTTAAAGGTTATACTCTACTTATAGTTATGAATTTTGGCTGTATTCCCTGCGTTGTACTTCCCCCAGATGATTATCAGAGTTCCTGTTTGTGCTTGGAGGGAGCCAGTCCAGGCAGGCCTGACTTCACTGGCTGAACCAGTAAATGCCCTGGTCGCTCACACAGTGCTGGACTTCAGGGCTTGCCTGCATGGGCAAGCAGTGAGTCGGAGAAGAAAACTCACCCACCGGAGCTCAGTAGTGTGAGGCAAAAGTGAGCTTATGGGCAGTGCAGAAGTGATACTTGCTGGTTGGGGAAAGCTTCTTGGAAGACCAGAAATGGGTTGTGTAATAGAAACAACAATGGGGAGGGTGTTAGCAACTATTCTGGAGGTTTCAGTAGAGCAGGTACTGATGTGAACCATAGGGGGTGCTAAAGAGTGTGGACTAAGATGAGCCTGCTTAGATTTGGGGGTGGGGAGGGGTTTCTGTATGTTTAAATTTGAATCCAGATTCTGCCACATACAAGCAAGTTCAGTGATCAATAATACCTAACCTTTAGTTCTGTTGGGAGGATTAAGTGTGTTAATTTTTGTAAGACAGAATGGACCAGGCACAGAGTAAATGATTTGTTAGCTAAACTTCCTTTACCCTTCCCAACATATGAAGTAGTTGGTATTTCCTCTTTTTTCATCCATGAAAGATGACTAGGCATGAACAGATGGAAAGCAAGAAAGAATACATTTGTCTTAAGTGTTTGGTTACAAGACTGTTTGGGGGAGGGCCACATCAAAGATGACTTTTTGTGTCTTTCATCACTTCCACAGAAGTTGATTTTGAAGATGGTTTATCTGATTTTTTTTTTCTCCTTCCCCTTTATAATTGCCCTTTGGCAGTTGGCCAAGGAGAAGTGCTTATGGCATCATCTGACTCTCTAGCATTTTGTCTGATTTATAGATAAGCGGTGCAAGAAGAAAAGATGAAGTCCCTTGGCAAATCAAGCTGGAGGACTATGCTTCCTTTTCTGTATTATCTCTGTCTTTTAAGCATAAATACCACAAACCAGGCTGAACGTGGTCTTAGCTGGGCATAGGTGATTCACGCATCATGTGTCTGGGCTTTGGTGACAGATGCCCAGCTCTTCTCCCCTGCGCCACCTAGGCTGTGACTTGTGTGTCCGTAAGGATTGCGTGTTCTATTAGTCAAACCGAAATAATTAGGGAGCGCAGAGCTGTTTAAAATACAGTTTTAAAGGTCACTTTCCAATTCCAGTCATTGCAAAGTATTGGCTCTATTCCGCATGTTCTAAAGCGTATGCTAGAGCATGTCTTACACCCATTGTTTGCACCTGCCGCTCCCCTCCCCCGAGCTGCCCCTCCCCCTCCCCACTAGTGACCACTGGTTTCTTCTCTGTGTCTGTCTGCTTCTTTTTGTTATGTTCACTGATTTGTTGTATTTTTTAGATTCCACATCTAAGTGATATCATACAGTCTTTCTCTGAGATGCTTCACTTAATGCAATGCCTTCCAAGTCCATCCATGTTGCGACAGGTGACAAAATTTCATTCTTTTTGTGGCTGAGTAGTATTCCATTGTGTGTGTGTGTGTACACACCACATCTTGTTCCACTCGTCTGTTAATGGACACTTAAGTTGCTGCTGTATTCTTGACAATTTTAAATAATGCTGTTGTGAACACTGGGGTATTGATTTTGGGTTTTTTTTTTTTTAATATATACCCAAGAGTGGAATTGCTTGGTCATATGGTAACTCTATTTTTAGCCTTTTGAGAAACTTCTGTACTGTTTTTCATAGTGGCTGCATCAATTTACATTCCTGCCAATGGTGTACAAGGGTTCTCTTTTCTTCACATCTTCGCCAGCGTTTTTATTTGTGTTCTTTTTGATGTTAGCCATTCAGACAGTATGAGGTGAGGATGGGCACAGCTTATGAAAGGTCTACCTTTTTTTTTTTTTTTTTAATGGACAAGTTATTTAATTAGGTTCTTTGCAAGAAGTTCAGAATACTGCTTTGTNCAAGAAGTTCAGAATACTACTTTGTGAGGGTAAATTCCATTTGTGAGAGCAAACACAGAGCGGAGGTAGCCCTGGAGCTGAGGGGCAGCTTTGATTCTTCGCAGAATTTGTGAGTCCACAGCTTTCTGATCAACCTTGCAATGCTCTGTGATCTCGTATTTCTCTCTCTCTGTGTCGAAGATCTCACCCTCTTGGTGTCTCGGCTTACGCAGCTTCTTCTTCTTGAAGTAAGTGTCAGTGAGATGTTCTGGGATTTTCACACCACTGATATCGATTTTGGTGGAGGTGGCAATGACAAATTTCTGGTGTGTTCTATGCAGAGGAACTTAATTGAGGGATAGAGGCCCAGTCACAAGTAGCAAGCCCCTGCCCAGCTGCTTCAGGAAAACGACCCTCTTGTCTCTGTGGCGTCCCGTGAGGATGATCAGAACGGTCCCAGGAGTGATGCTGGCGCGCAGCTTCCTCACGTGCTTACTGAACGGTTTCTTGCCGTGACTCAACAGTTTCCGAGGCACATCTTCAGTAGGGTAATACCTAGGCATTTTGCGAAGTTTGACCACTCGGGAACCACCATTCTTGTCACCACCAACTGGTTTTGTGACAGAAGCAAGGACCCGAACCTTCTTTTTCTTTTCGACCTTGGATTTAGCTGCTGAATACTTTCTCTTGTACAGGGCCTTTCTGGAGTACATGGCTGATCGGGAATATCTGCCAATTCCTCTGACCAGGACAGGGTTTCGGCTGCAGTGGGGCTTGCCCTTCTTAACTTTCTTCACCACTTTCACCTTTTTAGCCTTGTTGACAGCATCAGCCTTCTTCTTGGCTTCAGGTTTTTTCTCCTTAGTATCAGGCTTCTCAGCCTTTTCACCCGCCATCTTGCAAGATGGGAAAGAGCGAAAGGTCTACCTTTTAATGTACATTAAAACCCGATGGGACAGTTTCTGGAGTTACACGGCACTGTGTAGATCTTTAGTAACTTGAATAACTGTGGTTTCACCTTATACACCTTAGCTAGCTCTTTCACCGGTGACTCATGTGTTAAGATGGATAATAGTTTAGGTAGAGAGACCCCAGTTTCCTCAGTAAGTAGGAAGTATGTCTTCAGTCCTCTGGCATTTTGATCAGAAAGTTGTGCTGGTGGTGATGCATGCTAGAGGAGGGAGGATGATGAGGATGTTTCATGATACACAGGTCATTTATGAAGTCCTTTCCAAGACCCATTTTTATAGACGCATACTAGATGACACATATAAACAGAAAGATAGGTTTTCTGGTAAGAAATGCTAATTTCATTTTTGTAATATTCTAAAACGGTGATACTCAGATTTAGCTGTTCTTCAAAATTTCCTGTAAGCAGACAAACTTCCAGATTCTGCTCCCAAAGATTCTGATTCTAGGTCTGTGTTAGGGCCTGGAAATCTATTTGAAATATTTTTAGCCTACTGGAAAGCACAGAGAATAAACTAAGACATAGGTAATAAAAGTGATCTTTTAAAAATGTGCATTTGATCATGTCATCTTCCTGCTTAAAATCCTTTCACATGCTTTGATAAGAAAGAATCCTCACATTAACCCACAAAAGCCAGCATAGTTTCACAACACTGCTTGCCTGAACCAACCATACCTACTAGCTTTTAGATCGTCAAAAGAACGCTATTCTTCTTGACTTAGGTTGTTACCTCTTTTATATTCTGCCCCCTCTCCCCACCAACACACACTGTTTCCAGGGCCAAGCAGAGCATAGCGCCTGGCATATGCTGGGCACTCAAATGTCTGTAGAATGAATGGCAGTCTGGGTGAAAGGGGAGAGTTAGGAATGGACACTGATACTAGTAAGTCAGTAGGGAGACAGGTTGGGGATTCGGGAGACTGGGAGTGTGCCCACGTTCTGAGCTCTTCCTGTTATCATGAAGTAGAAAGTGAGGTGATCGCTACTCACATGTAGCGCAGGGGACTCTCCTCAATGCTCTGCGGCGACCTCAGTGGGAAAGAAGCCCAAAGAAGGGGGACATGTGCACACGTGGGGCTGGTTCACTGGGCTGCAGACCGGAAACTAGCAGAGCGTTGTTAAGCTCCTACAGCAAACATTTTTTTTAAAGTGAGGTGATCAATTTGCAAAAACAGGAAGTAGAAGCTGTTGGCTTGAGAAAGTAGTGAAGGTTTGAAATAGGTGCTTTGAAAGAAGGGTGACAGCGTACTG